TTTAGATTATAAACAAAAATATCAAATAAAAACAATTCCAAATACTTTTAAAAACACAAAACACACACACAAACTATTCCTAAAATACGAATAAATTCTGAAATTACGAATTTAAACATTAAATACATGCATGAAATGTTGATGCACATCGGGATTTATCATTGCCAAAATTATGATTATTTATGCAGTATTTAACGCAAAAATTATCATTGAAAAAAGTTATTAACGAAAACTTTACATGTTCTTAGTGCACTTTTGTCTTTTTTTTTCAAGACAAAAGTATTTATTAAATAATTCAGTTTGGTTTTTTGTTGTGGTTATAAATCAGAAAGATAGATTATGAATATCTGCGTACTTTGTTAACTGTCCACACAGAGAAAAGTATTATTATATAAATACAGAGACAAGAAAACATTGATGTAACCATCAATTGTCGCCCGGGAAATATATAAAGTAAACAATGAAAATGAGTCTTGATCAACAAACCGCTTCGATATGTGTAAAAAGGCATGCGTCTAAATGATGGAGACGATAGTCGCAAATATTTTTAAAAAACTTGTAGTCGGATAAAAATCAATCAAAAACGATACCATTTTAAACGTGATCAATTCCTCAAGTAAATGTTGGCTGCATAAAATATAAATTGAAGTTAGACACACGCATCATATATATTTAAAAATGTATTAACTCTCAATTTTAGAATATAAAACACGAACTGTGCAAAGTACGTTTTATCCGAGAAGTAAAATTCGATGTTCTAAAAAAAGGGACCTGTCGTTGTTTCGATAGTAAATGATAAGTAACTTTATATATTAAATATGAAAAACGTATATATTTTTACAGATTCACTTTATGGAAGTAAATATATTATATATCTCGTAATTTATAAACGGAAAGAACACTCTGATTAACAATCTTTTCAATGTTTAGAAAACCTTTAATTCTACATAACTACTCCCACCCCAATCCCCATACACCAACACTTAAACTTATATGTATAGAGCAGCCCGGTCCTCCGGGCTGCAATAAGTATTATGATGTACATACAACAATAAGTATTATAACGTCCAATTAAAGCGATAAGTATTATATGACATCCATATAGCAATAAGTATTATAACGTCCATATTGCGATAAGTATTTTGACGTCCATTTAAGAAATACACAACGTTATTCAGTATGAACACTATGACAATGAATAATCGTTGTTTATTCCTTATATTTGTATATTTGCATTCTTTAATTTTTTTTCAAAAATATCAGAGGAAATCCTGACTTACAAAAGGACTCGGCTTCTTTTCTTCAGTAAAGAAAAACATCTGGATACAAGCAACACCGTAATCACATAAATTGACCATTTATTATTCTTTTATTATGAGTAATTTTAATTACTGTCCTGTTGTTTGGCACTTTTGCGGAGAAAATAATACAAGAAAAGTTGAAAAAATCCAAGAAAGAGCTCTCAGATTTATTTATGATGACATGAACAGTACTTATGAGGAATTATTACTGAAGTCAGGCTTACCAACTTTAAAAATTAGAAGATTAAGAACAATGGCTATAGAAGTTTTTAAAATTTTAAAGAATGAGAGTCCTGCATATTTATCTGATTTATTTACTTTTAAAGAAACCACATATAATTTTAGGAAAACTAATACAGTACAGGTACCTAGGGTTAGAACTACAAAACATGGATTACACTCTTTTAGATATGCAGGAGCCAAACTATGGAATGAACTCCCTGAAACAATTAGAAATATATTAATGCAACTACAATTACTCAGTTTAAAAGTTTAATTAACAATTGGAATGGAGACTCCTGTAAGTGTGGCTCCTGCAGATCTTAATCCTTAGATCTTAATCCTCAAATCTTAATCTTCAGTTTTTGCTCAATTTCTTTTTAGTTCCCTTTTTATTTATTTATTTATCTATTCTGGTATTGTTCTTCTGTTTTAAGTTTATTCTGTTTTGTTTGCTTTAAAAGTGAGTAAATTTAGTAGTCATAAATTTATAGTATTAAAAAAAAATATATATATATATATACTTTTAACTAAACAAATTTGCTATATTTTATCAAAATATAAAACATTTTTATCAAATATAAAATCCATAGACTAAATTTTTAGAGCATAAGTGCTACTTGGACACTCATTTATATTTATTTCCTGTGTTGTCTTATTTATAATTATGCATGATATATGTGCTTTCTGTGTCGTTTTGTGTGTATATGTGTAAATATTGCTTGCTGTGATGCATGACAATGTGATTCTAACTGTTTTATATGTGTAGATAGTTATTTATGATATGTAGTACTAATATAATGTCGGTCAAAAGCTCTACAGAGCTTATGTTTATGTTATAAAAATCCGACTCAAAATAAAATTTTCTGATTCTGATTCTCTTAATATTTGTTTTTATGCAGTTGTGACTTTATTGAAACCCTCTGACAAAAATTAACAATTTAACACTATGATGAAAAATGAGAATGCTCTTATAATGATAATTACTCCAGAATGCTTTTCTATAATTTTTTTATTTTAATTTTTCTATTTATTTTTAATAGCGGAAATCATTCTTAAAATAGATATATATATACTATTTAAAGAAATTTTCTCTTTCTGAATGTTATCATCCAAGTGTGGAGAGTTATCGTTCTTTGTACAAATATGCATGATACAAAAAAATAAAATAAAAACATGGCAGTTCTCTACAATTTTTAAAAAGTTTTATGATACAATTAAATACATTGACCAAAATTGAATGTTTAAAGATATAAATGCAGCCATTTTGAATAGTCTGAATTTCTTTTTTTTCAAAGAATATCATTAAAAACTTATATTTATTCCTCTTACGAAACATTTCATATATATACTTCTTAACACGTTTTCTTAGTGTAGTAAAACTTGTTCTACACGAGTGTGATAGAGCAATTGCACTCATAGCAAGAGCAATCGCGTCTATAGTACTATGAACGCAGTTGATTACTACATGTTCATAGTGAGACAGAGCGGTGGATATGCAAATATAAAGCGATATTTATCATAACGTTCACTAAAGTGATCAGTATTATGATGTCCATATTGTATGGTGTCCGGATAGGGCCATTTGCCTTAGCGCGACATCGCGTTCAGATAAACGAGACATCGCGCTAACACACAACACGCCGTCGCGCCAACGCAACTTTGCACAACACGCCGTCGCGCTAACATAATTTTGCATAACGCGCCGTCGCGCTAACACACAACACGCGCTAACACAACTTTGCAGAACACGCTGTCGCGCTAACACAATTTTGCACAACGCGTCGTCGCGCTAACACGCAACATGCCGTCGCGCTAACACAACTTTGCACAACACGCCATCGTGCATTGCGTTAGCATGACGGCGTGTTGTGTGTTAGCGCGACGGCGTGTTGTGCAAAGTTGTGTTAGCGCGACGGCGCGTTGTGTGTTAGCGCGACGGCGCGTTGTGCAAAGTTGCGTTAGCGCGACGGCGTGTTGTGTGTTAGCGCGACGGCGCGTTTATCTGAACGCGATGTCGCGCTAACGCAAATGGCCCTATCCGGACACCATAATATTGCGAAAAGTATTATGACGACCATAATTATAGCGATAATTATTATAACATCCATATGGTGTGGCAACGCACTATGAAAAAATTACGCACTTAGAAAAATTTTTTCAAAGTGCGTTAAAATTGGGACAAAATCAACGCACTTTGAAAAAAATTTTCAAAGTGCGTTAAGAGTCTACATCAATATATTTTACCATGGAGACACTTAACGCACTTTAAAAAAAAATAATATTTTAGTAATGGAAAGATTTTATCAGTTATTTATCTTTCAAAAAACTAACTCTTACCCTAACCTAAAAAAAAGAATTGATTTACTCCCTTCGAAAAGAGGAGAAGACGGGGATAAGATCCCTCAGTCCCAATCTTTATCTTTCCAATACATAGGTGTCGGTAACAAACGGGGGAGGGGAGAAATAAACCCCAAAAGCGTAAGCTGCATTTTCAATGCTTATATGATGTATATATATATATATATATATATATATATATATATATATATATATATATATATATATATATATATATATATATATGCTATACTCAAAACATTCATATAATTATGTATTTACCTACATGGTATGACGTTGAAAACTTTCAATATTATATTAGTTAATTAAAACAGATGAAACTGGAAATTTTTAAGTACAGTTAAACGTATGAGAGAGAAAAAAAATTCTAATTTTGAACAATCAAATTGCCTCATTTTTTATTATGATAAATTCAAAGTTACTTAAAGCTGTCCACTGTTAGTGCCCCTTTACGCCTTTACATCTACTTATCAAAGACTAGAATAAAAAAAAGAAACGAATTAATAATCTTAAACAATCGTCACTCTTTTTTCAAAGCCCTTTTCTCTTTTATTTTACGAATACCTCAAATATTGAAAACGTCAATATCTCAGGTCCTGAAGTGACTTTATCATAGAAAACGTTGTCCAACCAGGATCTGTTATTTATCATAGCGATTATTTGTAGGATATTAATCAATCATTACATTTTATTCAAAGTGCGTTAATATGGTTGATTTTAACGCACGTTGAAAAAAAAATTAAGTTTTAAAAGTGCGTTAGCTTGGTCCCAAATTTTTTTTTCAAAGTGCGTTGTAACATATAGCGATAAGTATTATGATGTTCATATAGCGATAAGTATTATGGTGTCCATATTGCGATAAGTATTATGACGCCATACAGAGTTTAGTATCGGTATAATGATTTACTTCAAATAATCCTACAGAAAAAAGTGCATGTTTGCATAACAGAGAAATAGTCAGATTATTGAGACAAAATTAATATTAAAGTGTTGTGAAAGATTTGTCCGGATGAAATACATTGTAAATAACTTAAAGATTTAAAGAAATATCTAGTAGATACTTAAATTTTTTTTTGTGGTTGTGGCTGTTTTTGTTTGTATATAACATACAGAATTAATCATTTCAAGAGCAAAATAAACCGTTACAGTCATTAGCTTATAATACAAAATCAAATATTAAACATCAGGGATTTAAACTGAATAACCTCCAAAACTTGTTTTCCGTGCAATATGAGCGTATTTAGCATAAGTTATATTTATCCAGACTTTTGATCCTCTTGATAAGTTATGTACAACTGAAAACGACACAATGTTATACTCATTTTCACTAGTAAAACAGGCCGTTTCTCCAACTCTTTTGTTGTCAATATGGAGACCAATGTGTACATTTTCAACCTTGCACTCGAGTGAGACAAAGAAAACGAACATTCCGGGTCTGTCGCTCTGGAATACACCTGTATCCTTGTCATATAAGCCCCCAATATTGCTTCTAACATCTTTACATACTAAAGTGTCGTTTGTATTGACTCTGGCTGGACTTCCAATATACGCAGTAAAGCCAACCTTTGTCGAAAAGCCTTTACCTTGAGAAAAAAATGCTTCAAAATACACACATGGATTTCTTAAAATGAATTTGGTGACAATAATCAATTAAAATTCATATATTCACATGACTTTAATTTTTCAATCGTCGAATTCTATTACTTATGCAGCAATATGCCTTCATCGCCTGCATACGGAGCTTATATCTATCAGTTGATTCGATATGCAAAAGCATAAGCTCTACGTATGAACATTTGCTCGAACGCAGTAATTTAATGTCAAACAAGTTGATGAAATAAGAGTATCAACCCATCTCATTTAAAATCGTTATTTCATATGTTCTATGGTCGATACAATGACCTTGTCAGCAAATATAATCTATGAATCATTTAGTCAATGCAGACTGACATTTTTCACATTTATCATTAGGCCATTATTTACACACTGAATTGTCGACGGATTTTTTCCGTTATCTCTCGATCATGACAAGGAGCACACGGCGGGTGTGACCGGTTAGATGGAGATGCTCACTCCCCCTTGGCTTCTGACCCCATCTCTGATGTTCTACATGTCTTTGTTTGCTCTGCTTCTGGCTTGCATATTGTTGGAATGGACTTTTTGAGCTTTAATTCTGTTTGTTATCTCCATATATCTTATTCTAGAATAAATTGTAGCATAATACGTCTGAGGTGACTCATTTTACAGCGGTTATGTTTTGTCTGGGTAAAGCTTTAAGTTAAGAGTAATTGCCGGACCCAGCAATATCTCTTTGTAAGGACGTTATGAAGTTTAGGAACTCCGTATATGTAGAGTAGATCGAACTCAGTTTGGTTGATTGCAAAAAGTATAAGGCCTAAGTAGCGACGTGTGATTTTAGAAGAATTTCATATTTACAACGCGAACTCTGAAATAATTTGGATTGCCAGATGTAGTAAAACAAATAAAGTTCTTTTCAAGTACAATTTGAATTAAATAATGAACCTACAAACAAAGACGATTGTAACAAGGATCAATTTAGCACCTGTTTATGTAATCTTGATATGGTTTATACAATTACAGAGTATTCTTTACTATCTAGAGTCTATTTCTACTTAGAATGTTAAAAGAATGCACAGTTCTTATGAAAAGGCTATATGTAGAAAAAAAAATCCTTTTCAAAACTTAACAAATTTTCCATCTATAAGAAATATTACGCTTTCTTTTTATTATATTTTAAGGGTCCTCCACACCATGTGACTTGTGACGTATATAGAGAAAAATACTTTTACTTCCGGTTTGATCGAGTTAATTCTGCATGAACGATTTAACCTAACACCGTTTGTAAACAATGAACACGTGTCATGATCACGGAGTGACCGAAGGAAAAGGATGTGCGGTTTTTTTGTTAAGGAGGCTCATTACACCACTTTTTGATGACGTACTACACAAAAAATAAACCTCCATTGTGTCGACTTTTAGATGTAATGTCAAACGTTCCTTAGTGTTTTGAGTCTTGGGTAATTACGAAAGATAACTCTTGAAAGTGGACTTTTTATACAAAATATATTTTAAATTGAATTTTTCATTTCGTTTAAACAGTCTTCATTCAATTTGACACATGTAATTCAATGAAATACATTCCTTGTCTCTTCAGAACTCATTTTCTTAATGTTTTATGCATATATTAAAAAGATAATGACATCAATTGTTTTTTTTAGGAAAAAATCATTTTTTTAATCAAATTATTATTAGGTATTATAAGGTATTTTCGCTGTGTGTACTTGTCTGAAGAAGATGCCCATCATTTGACACTAAAAGTTCTTAAATTCTGTTAATAATAAACTTGAAATGAAACATTTAACTAAAATTAGACGAAAATTAAAAAAATTCAATAAAAATATTTATGATATCAATACCTCCATCTGGATATTTGACATCTACATTATAAGTGGTGCTGTATTGAAATCTAAAATAAACTGTGGATGTAATGAGCCACCTTAAATAAAAGAACAACATACGTCTTGGATTATGTTAATAATAATAATTCGTAAACTACAGGTACCGATGGGTATGACAACAAACGTTTAGGTTATTTATACTTTCAGGCTAATCAACCGAGTCTGTTTTGATAGTTGAAATTTCGCACACTAATTTGTGCGTTTCAATAATACATTATCTAATTGTTGTTTATAAATATTGATAAAATAGCGTGCGTTTCTAGTTTTCCTCTTTTATATTTGTCTAGTTCAGTGGCCAGTAATTACTAAATATAGTATGGTACGTGACGTATGCGGAGACTTGCCAAAGTTTTTGAGTCCCGGGCAACAGGAAAGATAACTCCAAAAAGGAACTTTGATACCGAAGATTTTGAAAATGTTTTTTTCTCAATCAGTGCATTTAATTTAATTCAATTTTTTGATGTAATCTAATTCATTAATGTTTCTTCTCCACAAAAGGAGTCCTTATTGATTTTTCTCGAAATGTATTTCAGAGAAAATGAGTTTTATGTACTTTTTATAAATAAAATAAATTTCTGTAAAAAATATGTTGATAGATAAAAATAAATTTTTATGGTTATTCTGTGAGCTTAAAAATATACGAAAGGATAAGACAAAGTTTGTTGTGCTAGGTATGAAAACGGTTTGGGAAAAATTTCTTATAACTTGTGAAATTATTATTTAAAAAAAGCCGTATAAATAACATTTTAATCCCTGGACAGTTTTTAAAGGTTGATATGCTTGTTAAAAGTAATGCTCAATAATATGAGAACATAAGCTCTGGGTGTGTGGAGGACCCTTAACTTTTATGCATTTGACATTGAAATTGGTAAAAGATAAAAGATAAACATATTGTAATTTTAGAAACAAATTTCATATCGATAAGGAGTGCCTATATATTTTGTGACGATATAATTAAAGAAAAAGATATCAATTTATTAAGCTACAAATCTAAACAAAATCTACAAGCCAAACGGCATTAAACAGATCCCTGACAATGCAAGAGGTAGATGTGATCAGTTGATACATTGATTATTACAAATTATACTTACCAAGAGGATGGTAACTTTTTAATTCATTTATTTCAGTCCTCAGTCTCGTTACTTCCTGTCGCAATCTCTCTGTTTCTTCTACTTTGCGGCCATCGTTTGGAAAAAGAGCTTGAAAACTAGCTCCTTTTAGTAGATTCATCACGCTGAGTGTAAGCGCGTATGTAACAATGTACTTCATGCTGTGCTTGATTGTTTAGATATAATGTGGAAAGAATTTGACGGTTTCCCAATATAAAGCAAACATTACACGCACTACTTTGCGCATAGATGCATCAAGTGGGTAACAGTTAAAAATAGACTTAAAGTGGTGGTAGCATAGCGCTAAAACTTTTGGAAAAGCTCTGAAAATAGACTTTAAAATTTCAACCCTTTCTATAGATATATACTGTTAACCAACTTTTATTCGCGTGCGAGAATTTTTCGCGAACTTCGCGAGACCCTCGTTATCGCGAATATTTCTCGCCGCGAACCAGTCCTTAAAGTCTCTGTGTCTATTAAAAACATATTCAAAAAGGCTTGATCGTGAAAAGTAATCGTCGCAAACTAGTTTTACTCCAGTAAATCGCAAAATAAAGTCGTCACAAAAAAAATTGGTTTACAGTAATTGATATTCACACCAACACCTAGTGATTCTAATCTTCAGGAATTTTCTAAGGATATCAAGGAATATACAAGAAAATTAAGATTAGCAGAGTTTTTTTCATAAGGATGACAAAGACGAGAGCACGTGTGAAAGTGATCTGGTAAGGAACAAATCAAATTTTAATCCAAAGAAAGGAAGGAACAGTCTCCTTGACACCGTTTGTAAAAAAATAATACAAGAAGTAATTTACAAAAAGAAAAGGAAAAGGCTGTTCAATCACTGACAAACGATAGTTCAATCGTAATCAAAGAAGCAGACAAGGGAGGGGCAGTAGTGATTATGAACACAGAATACTACAAATCAAAAATATTACAAATGCTCAATAACAGCGAGTTTTACGATGAAATATCAGAAAACAGTGACAAAAAGACAATGCGAAAAATCAAAAACTTGATTAAAAACCACAACACAACGTCCTGTTTAACAGTCAAAGAAGAGGACTTCTTAATAAATTTTGATTTCAGAGAAAGTGCCTTTTATGGACTTCCTAAAATACACAAGTCTAAAACAATAAAGGAAGCGATTAAAATACAAAACTCTACATATGTTACATGTAACGACCCGGAAGATCTCACATTTAGATCTATCGTAGGTGGACCAAATGCTCCTACACAAAGGCTGAGTCATCTTATAGACATATTACTGAAACCTTTATGTTTAGAATTAAAAAGTTACGTTCGTGATGATCTGGATTTTCTGAGACATCTACCTGAAAAGGTTAGTCATAATGCCAAACTAGTCACAATGGATGTTACCAACTGGTACACTTATATTACTACTGATCTTGGTGTCAAGGCGCTCGAATACTGGATTGATAAATATCCACAAAAAATTAATCAGCGTTTCAGCAAAGACTTCATCCTAGAGGCTAGTAAGATAGTATTGCAAAATAATTTCTCCTTTAACGACAAGCATTATGCACAAAAGAAAGGAACAGCAATGGGAACGAAAATGACCCCTACTTATGCCAACCTTACACTAGAATATCTAGAAGAAAAGATATATGAAAGAACAACTCGGTGATTTGACCAACAAATTACAGAAAATAAAAAGAACAATTGAAAAAGATACCTCGAGGATTGTTTTATAGTTTGGAATGACAGCGATGCGAATCTAGCAGCTTTCCTAAATATTATAAATGATCTAGATCTTGATATTAACTTCACAATGGAAGAAAGTTTACAAAGTATTCCATTTTTGGACGTCCTAATTAAAAAAGATGGAGAATATCTTTCGACAGACATATACTACAAACCGACGGACACCCATCAGTATCTTCATTTCAGTTCCTGTCATCCTAGCCATACGAAACGCTCGATCCCGTACAGTTTAGCTAGAAGAGTCTGCACAATAGTCAGCGACGAGAGAACAAGAGTTGAACGTCTAATTGAGTTGAAAAAATATTTACTTGAACAATGTTGTCCTTCCGGAATCATTGAGGACGGGATAAAAAAGGCCACAGAAATCGACAGAGAAACACTTATTAATTCCTCAAAACGTGACGATCCGGATACCTCAATATTACCGCTTGTAACTACCTACAATCCGAAGAACAGGAATATTACCCCTACAGTGCGTCACCTCAACAACCTTCTACAGACTGATGAGAAAATGTCCAAAGTGCTGGAAAAATATAAATTCATCAATAGTAAAAGGCAACCTAAAAACCTCCGGAGAATATTGTGCAAATCTTTATTTCAACGACGGAATTCGAACACGGTCAATACATGCTCCGATTCACGTTGTGGAACTTGCCGATATATTAAAGAGGGAAGTACTTTTACACTCGGAAATAAGAAATTTACTGTAAATGCAGATATGACCTGTGCATCAAAAAACCTGATTTATTGTATAACATGCGCTGGATGCGGAGAATTATACATAGGAGAAACCGGGACCGCCCTTCGCACTCACACAGTACACAGACAGCATATCAACCAACCCGAGTAAACAAAAATAAAACTCAGTGAACATCTTGCTCTTTGTGGACAGGGACAATTCACCGTTTATCCCTTTTATAAACTCAAAACAGAGAACGTTTTAGAAAGACGGGAAAAAGAAAAACATTTTATCAAGATTTTTAAACCATCCTAAAATAGTTTAATATAGACTGTCTCATCACTTAATTATTTATTACGCTATGAATTATGTTATTTTACTTTGACTCTATAATTGTTTCCTCTATTAGCATTGTGACATCATTGCATTGTTGTTGCCGTTATCTACAGGTAACGTTATTACGTCACATTTTTGAATTGTTTTGAAATGTAAAACGTCTGAAGAAATAATGAAGAAAGCGCTTACGTTTTACTAACATTGTTGCCTGTCCTTATATTATATATATATATATATATATATATATATATATATATATATATATATATATATATATATATATATATATAAATAGAGGATATCTATATCGTGTGATTTGATATTGGCTTTATATGAAATAGTGTATATATTCTCGAGGCTTGCCGAGCGAATGTACACCATTTCAAAGAGTTGGATAAAGCCAATATCAAATCACACAATTATAGATGTTCTATTTATCTCATACGACTTTCATTTTAACAAAACTTTGAGACTTTCCCTGCGAAACTACATGAATGATTGCTAAATTCAAATTGATGACGTACAACTTGATGACGTAGCACCGTTGATGTTGACATCCCTCGAAAGAAAGTAGATCTTGTTAAAAATTTAGAATTTTTGCTATCTGTGTCTTTGAAGACATTATATGACAATTGCTGGAGCTTTACATCAAACGGACTTCTGACTGAAAGTTGTAAGGACCATTGGATCATGAAAATGAACTCGTTTGGACGATGGCAGTACAAAACGTGATAGGCAAGGTTAGGGGCCTACTGGTAGATTCATTGTTGATCCATGGTAAGTTACACCTACGTTACTAGGTAGGCATACGTAGTATAATATAAGAAAGCATTATTGAAGATGTTAAAGGAATCTTATAAAAACAACTTAACTGCTAAGCTTTACTTTCTCCGAAAACGATTTAAGGGGGGGGGGGGGGGTAACATCTGTCTTCAAGTAGCCAATACCGGTTCCTTGATAAAATAAGACACTTCTTTGACATATACGAGCCTTTTTCTTGCTTTTAACGATATTATCGCTCTTTATCATTCATTTTATTAGGACAATAATAGGGATCACAAATAAAAGTTTCAAATAAAATTTTGAAGCGAGGGATCGTGTCAAAACCGGAAGTGCTATTGATAAAGCATCTACCCGTTGATAAAGCACAAGTTTATCCAATGACCTGTATCGCCCACACGTATGTTATATATATATATATATATATATATATATATATATATATATATATATATATATATATATATATATATATATATATATATATATATATATATATATATATCCAAAGTTTTTATATAATAAATTATATAATTGTCACAGTGTCCGGCAATTATAATTTAAAAAAAGAAAAAACGACAACACAAATTGTAAAACGTTAGCGCTTTCATTCAAATTCTTCAGACATTTTACTTTGAACTTTTGACGTTAAAATGTTATGGTAATGACGTTGTCAACAATACAATGACGTCACAATGAATGTTTGGGAAACAAGCAAAAGCGTATTATGTTGAACATATGAGAAATAAACATACATGTATATAAATTACAATAAACTATGCTAAACTGTTCAAAGTTGGTTTAAATACTTAATAAAATGTTTCTCTTTTTCTCTTCTTTCTACCGTACTGTCGGTAAACAGTTTGTAAAAGGGGAACACGGTGAAATGTCCGTTACCGCATTGGTCCAGGGTCGCGTCTTACAAAACTATCGTAAGATTTGTCCTAAGATAGATCTTACGATAATCTTAAGATCAGACTTATGACAATCATAAGATCTGTCACTGCTGTTTCACAAAACTATCTAAGTATAAGAAATCTTAAAACAAGTCTTAAGACAAATTCCATTCTTCAATTTCACAGGGATATTCTTTTAAAAATATGTTTTCACGAAGTCTTTCTTCAATTTTCTTTGAAATATTGAAAATGTTTGTCTCATATAGTTCTTTTTTGCAGATATACCCTCGGAAAAAACATTTTATTGCATCAACTTAGTGTGTGTTGGGAAGAGGGTCATCAAAATTAAATTTCAATTAATTTCATCACAAAAAATTAATAAATTAAATTTGTTTTAATGTCTTTTAACTCAGGAAATAGTTTTATTGCAAAATGCATGTGATTACTTTTAATTAAGACCACTAGTGTATCTAAAGCTTTGCAAATAAACGATTTTAACAATGACTCCTTTTGAAACACCAAATCCTGTTCATAAAATTAATTTGATGCAGGTGTCTTTGAAACGGTTCAACTATACTGCAACAAAATATTAATGTTAATAGATGAAGAAGAGAAACGAAAGTAAAAATTTCAATCAAAATTTTACGGTTTAAATACTATTGTAAAAAAGCATAAAGAAAGCATGTACATACAGCACAAAATATTACAGCATACTGAATTGTCATACACATTCCGATAGATTAATGAGGATACCTCAGAAATTAAACTTTTTGATTTTCATCTAATTTTGTACAACTGAATA